GACATTAATGTATCACATGACATTAATGTATTACATGCCATTAATATATCACATGACATTACTGTATCACATGACATTAATGTATCACATGACATTACTGTATCACATGACATTAATGTATTACATGCCATTAATATATCACATGACATTACTGTATCACATGACATTAATGTATCACATGACATTACTGTATCACATGACATTAATGTATTACATGCCATTAATATATCACATTGACATTACTGTATCACATGACATAATGTATCACATGACATTAATGTATCACATGACATTAATGTATCACATGACATTAATGTATCACATGACATTAATGTATTACATGCCATTAATATATCACATGACATTACTGTATCACATGACATTAATGTATCACATGACATTAATGTATCACATGACATTATTGTATCACATGAAACAATTTATCACATAGCATTAATCATATGAACTCCCCCTTTAATATGATTTTTTTTAAACTTTAAACATTATACAAATTTACTTCAATACAAATTACATGATTTTCCATTATATAAAATTTTTATAAAACTATTTTCTAAAATATTGACCAGGCTTAGTGTAAATCTGGTTAAAAATGTTTCCAAAAATATTTTCATTGCATGAGTATTAAGATTCTGTATTCTTAAGCTTCATTAACATACATAATTATTTTATATATTTAAAAAAAATAAAAACAAAAACGCACTTTCAAACCTTACCACACTAACTATTTTCAATTTACTTGTCCATCTTTCAATCTTGACAAAACCATTCATCTTGTTTTAAGTAATTTTTTAAATTAAGTATTGGCTGAATATCAAATACAGTAGGGCAACCCAAAACAAGATTAGCTGGCACCTCTTTGCTGTCTGATTATAGTGCCAGTCGATCTTGGTCTCCACTTGTTGCAAGTGGAGAGTCAGTCTCCACCAGAAGGTTAGGGGTTAAATACATACATTGGTATCAAAATATATACATTTCTTAAAAACAGTTTCTCTAACAAATGGAAGGGTATAAAATTGTAGAATTTATATCTTCTTTAAAGTCCCATTCATTCTCAAAAATATTATATTTTCATTACAAAAATAATTAGACAAAATACACATTTTAATCTGTTATAGTTTAAAATGTGCTATTTTCTTGGAAATATCATACACAAGTACTAGTAACATAAATCTGTAACACATACATTCCTCCATTTATGGAGTTGTTTCTTTTTTTATGCTGTTAAGAATAAAAATATCTATCAGACAAGAGCATGCAAAGGCAGGGAAATATACGCCTGAATGTAAATTTGTTTGAGTAATCAAAAATAATCTTTCAATAAGGGAAGAGACCAAATCAAGAAACTAATGTCTGAAAAATGTTTTATCTTAATTATTCTTACGGTGTTATAAAACCTCCACGGAAGAAGCATTTTTTACCCTAGTATGTACATGATTCATAAACTTTAGCGAGGTCTACAAGGCGAAGTTATCTGCCAAATATAGAATCATAGTAATTATCCACAAAAATATAAGACATGCTTTTCTATACATAAAGCAAGTATTCCCGGGGATGGATGGACTGACAGATGACCGGTTGCATAACAATATATACCAAATGATTAAAATTCAAGGGCTCTAGCATTCAATACTTCAACAATACAAAATAAAAAACAAATATTTCACCTTCTTTATAGTTATTATTGTTTATATTAATTAAGCAAAAATAATAAAAACTTAACACAGTATAGAATTTCACAATATAAGTATTAGGTAAAACAATATTTCAATGAATATAAAACAAACAATGACATAATGCATCATTTAAATACATTTAAATTTATAGGGCAACTTTATTCCATTTAAAAAAAAAAGAAAAAGTTTTACTATCTTGTCACCACTTAATAAAACAAAATATAGAAACATTTTCACCTTAAAGCCACTCATCCTATCATAACAAATGCAGCAAATATACTAAATATTTTTTTATCTAAAAAATTTTGTAACAAAGCTGTTGGTAGGAGAGCATTCTTCACTAATCTCATTGCTTAATAGTAAATCAAGAGCCTGGATAATGATGAATCTTCTGTGTGAAGTTTCAATCCATTCTCTTCCATTTTTTTTGTCTCAAACATTCTGTAACAAAACTGTTGGTAGGAGTATACTCCACTATTCTCAATGATTAATATAGTAAATCAAGAGCCTGGATAATGAAGAATTAATTTTCTAAGTTCAAACTGGGCCATAATTCAGTCAAAATTCATGACAGAATTATGGGCCTTGGATAATAGCTTACGACTGTGCTCTGAAGTAAGTGTGTGACATTTCAATCCGTTCCCTAGAGTAGTTTTGGAGATACCAACTTGCAAAAAGTGTGACATTGACGCTTGGGTGAGTAAAAAAGCTCCCACCTATTTTTAGCTCACCTGAGCAATGCTCAGGGTGAGCTATTGTGATCGCCCTGTGTCCGTCGTCCGTCGTCGTGCGTCGTCAACTTTTCA